ACTTGGTCGATTTTATAAACAACATTTATTCTCTATTTAATTAAATTAATAAGCAATATTAAACATTGAACACATATATAATAATAATAAATCAACGAATAAATATTGTATGTAGTTCTTGTTGAGAGCGAAAACGACTAAAATTAGAAAAGAGCTTAGTCTGCATGTAGGAGATGGAAGTTACTATGATATTCTCGACATCCATTATTATACACCATGTTTCCAGAGTACATAAGAGGATAAGCGACAGGTCATATACCATCGGATAATAATTATAATTTTAATTACGTGCAGCCAGATTGCAATTATCGAAAATACGTTAAACGCGAAGGTGGATATCTTTCAGAACAGCTATTTCGAGAAAAAGAAAGAAATGTGTGTGTTTGTATATGCGTGTGTGTATGTATGTATGTATGATAAGTGAATAGATATGTAGATATATATGTATATGTGACTACAGTTCATTTTTTCTGGCTGTATATATAATTAAAATTCTTTTAATATTCTCAATATTACGTCACATTTGATGACATTTTTAAAACAAATTAGAAGACAATGTAATTGTTTTTTAATTTGTTTATAGCATGTAAACTATTGGTAAAATATTCCTGGATCGTAATAAAATATACGGGTGACGTCAAAAGTTTATTTGAAAATGATAAAACAACGATTGATTATTTATGGCTCATTATTTATGTAATTTAAGGTCAGTTGTAACATCGAAATATTTTTGCATGTTTGTAGAGGAGCGTGAGCGAAGGTGCAAAATTCTCGATTAAAAATCGTCGCATTTAACTTTCACACTCGTCTCGATATAGCGTCACCATCCTTGACCTCATCGCAAACATGAACGAATAAAGAACATCCTGGTTACTACTGCGCCACAGTGGGAAATATAATTTATTAAAAGCTATTTTTCAGCTGCTGGGTATATGTGTGTGGGTATGTATTTGTACTTACAGAATGTAACTTGGATATTCTATCACGCTAATCAAAAAGCACAGCTTCAAATAAAACGGTAATTGAATTACTTTGATGCTCACAAATGCAAGCGCACGAATAATTAATCAAAACACTATTACTTTGCCCTTTATCGCGTTACAAACTTACTACCAAATGACTGTTCTAATTAGAAGTTAATCACAAAATCCATTAATGTAAGAAAGACAAACCGATGGCTTAATGCTCGATGACGAATAATCCAGTCACATTTTACAAAAGAAAAATGTCTCGTTTGTTGAATAAACGACAATGTTCGATAATGCAGGAAATCCAAAGCGGTTACCTCAGGCAAAGACATAGAATATTCTAGTAGTGGCTTTTCTCAGATAGGAAGATCCACATTTGTCCATGCTCTAAGGTCGCGACAGCGCACAAGATAATATTAAACTTAAAAAGAAAATCCTGCGAAAATTCTTGAAAATTTCTCAAGACTTGAAAATAATTATATATAACTATTTTTAAAATAAAATTATCCGGAAGCGATTTTTAATCGAGACATTGAAATTAGAAGAAGATTGACTTTGTCACAAATAATATATTAATAATATTTATAATAATAATATATTGCACTTATTACTTTTTTTTGCGAATTGTTAATAATCTTCTTATAAAAATTATTTTTTAAGAAAGAACTCAAAAGCACATTTCGCTTATGCAACTCAGGTAGATTGCGGAAATACAATCTCCATATAATATTGCTCCGAAATTATGGTACATCTGGACGACCATTCATTTCGTCAACTTTCGCTTTGTATTTTCGTAATTTTCCCATTTTCCCGCAACTTAATTCAAATAGCCACATTACCTCGAGAATAACCAACTGGAAACGAGAAGCTCATTTAACGCGAGTTCCCAGAATATAATTTGAATATACCAATCGTTGAACGTTATCCATGTAATTTAGTGATTCGCAGTATCATTGTTTGTCATAGTGTTTGATAAATTGAAATATTATGCAATAGAACTGTGCATAAAACAGTTTGGGAAGGTCTGGATAAATATGCAGTTAATATACTATCAATGTTCGAATAGAAATACAATATTATATACATTCACTCAATTACCACAATCGCGACAAAATTCAATATTTTCAGAATGTATATTTTTTTCGGTTCCGTTATTCACAGTGTGTATTTATTCAAATCCTGTTGTTTTGTGATAAATCTAACAACATTTTACAGAACGAAAACATTTTTTACGCTATTTTATAGAATAACATAAAAAAAATACTCTCGTTACCCTTCGATTCGTATGGTTTACGCATCACAGAGAACTCCTATCCGTGCGAGATGAAATTTGTACGAACAATATTGGAATAATATTTTTACATACATATACATATGCATATACATATATACATACATATATATATATATACAAAATTAGAATATTATTATCCGGTATTAATTGCTGACGATTTCTTTGATAATTATTTGCACTTAACTCGCTAAATGAAACAGATGGATAATATTTAAATTATTGATATTATATATGAAATCAAATAATAAATGGACATTCTATGTAAAGTCATTCAAGTATAACAAATGTATGCATATTACTCTTTATTTATATTTGCAGAAGTGTATGTTGCATCCCAGAAGATAGATAAACTGCATTCTTAAGACACAACAAGTTTTTAATCGAGAGAATCATGAAGATATAACACGCGGTGTATTAAAGTATCGGATAATTTGATTTTATTGTGACCCGCGACGTGTACCACTTTGCTCATAAACGGCCACCGAGGTCTTTAAATAATTTACGTTTGCCGAGTAAACACATTTTCCGCTGCACCAGCTGCGAAAAAGATGTGCGGTAGGGAGAGAGCAGTCTTCGCGTCACGTCTTTAGAAAAGAGACGCATAACAGACCCGCGTCGCTGCATCCAGTAGGAGGCTCACGACGCCACCGACAATGACAATGGGGTTGTAAAATGGGACGAGTATACTGGGACAAGAAGAACAACGTCCTCGTCCTTGCGACGATCACTACGTAACGCGACATCGCCAAGGCTGATGTTGATTTCGTATTTACTCTGAAAGAACTGCAAATCAATTCCGATTTTACGAGCTACTCATTGAATCGAAAAATTGAGTGTTTCTAGTTTAACTCTAACTTGAAAAAAGGCATTTAATTAATTAAAAGTATTTTGATAGTAAAAGCAACTGATTGATCTGGAAAACTTTTCTTTAATTAAGTATGTATATATGTATATGTGTATACTTTTTAAACATACTTCAATTTAATTTAACATTAAAATGTTTATCTCAAGCATATAATTCTTATTGTCAGATACATAATAATATTAAAATATTTTAATTTCTAAAAATCCCAACTGCAATAAATATTTAAAAAAAATGAAGAAATATATATGGAGATCATATTTTTGTTAAATCTCGCATCGAAACGTCATTAAAAACATATTTCAATTCGAATTGAAAACTAAACCTATAGTATAAATTTCATGAACCAGCGAAACATGAAGTATATTTTGCAGTTCTCATCGACGATAATTGCGATACTAAAAGTCGAGCTGTTGAAGCGACTGGAGTTACAGCCTCGCATTATTTTTCGCAGCAGGCGCGTGCGATCGATTTATTGGTCGCAACGAAAGTGGAAATAAGGAAAAAAACAGCTTCCTCCTTGTCTAGGAGACCAAAAGAAAATACTAAACGGCCGATATATCTTTAGAAAAAGTGGGAAAGCCGACGAGCATCACGTGACCTTTGCAGAAATCGATACGCTCCCTCTATCCCTATTATCTCACGCATTCACATATCGTCGATAAACCCCTTAATTGCTCGGTGCATTTCGGATTTATCCGTTGAACGAGAAAGTTAGTTTCTCCTAAAGTTTGTATACTCGGAAATTTGTCAAGAAATGTTTCATCCATCGTAATAACTTGGGATTTATGATGCCAAGAATCTGGAAAACACAATTACATGGCTAAACTCATGTTTTTGCTTCTTGCGTTCATAAATTCAAAAGATTCACCGCATATATTGCGTTAAATAGCGTAGCAGTAGTCTGATTCTGACTGATATCTTCAATATTTAAAACGATATCTTTATACATTAACTAAAAAGAATACAAAATTAAGTGGTTGCATTTGGTGTTAATTATCGCAATTGTGCACAGTAAAGAGAACCTCGGATCATAATATTTCGAGAGTTTTATATTAGAAATTGGAATTTATTTTGAAAGTTGTCATATCGCTAAAAATGCATACACATATGAAAACAAATGTACAAAAAGCTTTTGAAACGTTAATGCGCTATACTAATTGAGTATCACAAAAAGTAAAATATATAAAACCAACATTTGTGTATTGTTAACTATAGATTGTTGATTGTTGATAATAGAAAAGTAGCATATGAATTTTTAAATTAACATATGCCCCTTCTGCGTACAAATAACCCATTAGCCTTTGACATTAAATACATTATCATAAAATAAGTGTTTTTGAATTATGTATAATGCATTTGAATGCATCATCCTATGAAAAAGTCTGGAAATTACGTTACTTTAAATATTATCGTCCGTGATAATTTTTACAATATAATGTTAAAAAAGCAAGGCAAAAGATAATTAAAACATATCAAATTTGTTTACCTTCTTGACAGATACAAATTGTATATTTTGGAATATGATTTTTTCTTAGATTTCACTAAAATGTAATTTTTGCAGAACACTTCATGTCTGCGAAAGCTTAAAAGCAACGCATTTTATGGACTTTGGAATTTCGATAACCCGATAGCCATTGCGTATGCAATTCCTATTGACACATTTATAGTGCTAAAGTGGAACACGTGTAACGTTGAAGCGGAAGTGGAAGCAGGACACTCGATTCTCGCTAAAGTTCTAGTTTTAACCGCATATGGGGGTTGAGGACGAGAATTGAGGATTATAACTTCTTGCATCGGACTTTATAGTAGCGAATAACGGACATTGTTGCGTATACTGCTTAGCGAGCTTACGCGCGCATACCAAGACACATACCTGTTTATCCGGCTCTTTGCCTTTGGCGGTGATGAGTCGATCGCAATAGCAGCCCTCCAGCAGAACGACGCCACTGGGTCGTGAACAGTTCTCGCTCTCGTAATAGAATAGCAAATTCTGTAACAAACATCAGAGTCTAGGATAAGCTCGATTTTCTCGGGAGAAAAACCTGAGAAAATAAACAGCTGTAATTTCTTATATTTTCTGTAGAAAGATAATGGTATCGTGATATTTAATGTGTCATGCTTGGGTAACATAATCGTATTACATTCTTATAATTTGCATATTAAAATAAATTTATAAACGTTTTGATATTTAATTTAGGTATCTGTTTTTAATCCAAGCATGCTGCTTAAGTTTTCATTACTAAAATTTTTGACATATAATCTTTTCAACGCCAAGAGGCAGGAATATGCCCGACCATATCCAGACCACTTCTACTGAAAGATGACTTCGCTCGGCATAAAATATTACACAAAGCAATCTTTTATACAGTAAAAAATTTCTACGAGAGATGTTCGCAAGTAATTAAAATTCTTAACTTATTTAAAAATGTATACACACATGTGCACACATAAAATTGTCATCATAGTTATATCATAAGCGCAATGTTTATTAAATACGTAAAAATTAATCCAAATGTAATTATTTGAAATAATAGCTTGTAATATTTGTAAGGATAAAAAACAGAAGTTGCACATTAGTTATGCGAAATAAAATAATTTATAGATACAAATTTACTTGTTAAAAAACTGCATAAAACATACTATTATCTGATTTACATTAAATTGCGTTCGCATTGTCGGAAAATTCATGGGATAAATATCGCAATTCGACACATGCTCTCATATTTCATAAAGCCAGTTACATTCCGCGGAGTAAATTTCCCATTGCTGATACGTGATACAAATCCAAAACGATTTTTTATTGTTGCAACGTGACGTTATCAACAAATATCTACAATTGTTGCGATCATAATTTTAAATAGCTTTGAAACTAAAAATACTTTACGATACATATTTTGACCAATCGCACTGGAAGCGCATCCGAGTTTTAGATCGCTTTGTGCCGATAAATTTCCCAAAAAAAGATTGGCTAAATTATTAAATAGAGTGCTGTACGTCTGTCGATAAAATAAAAAGTAATTTGTGACAATAACACTGATGTGTCTCGCAATAAAGTTTTATGAAACGAACTTCATAAAGAAAAGAAGAAACTATATTCTCGGGAAAAAACCCCGGAGCACAAATCTTAGATTAATTTAACTTCTATCTTAGAAGTATATATATATATGTAGGGGGGGGAGGCATGTACATTTTTATCGCGCGGGACGAGAGTTTCATTCCTTTTACTAGTTTCGAACGGACGCCTTCTAGAAGAATATAAGCGTTCTCGCATAAAAATCGATTACAAGCGACTGAAGTTTTTGATCTTCGGTAATTCAAGATAGGTGCGATAAATTTAACAAGCTTTAAGAGCATAAAAGAGCTGAAGTTACTTTTATTATCCAATGACTTGGAACGTCTCGATAAGAGAGATACTCGATCATCGCGTATCTCTCAGCTATATAAAAGTTTCGAGCAACGAGTAACTTCACCACGCGATGATATCTGCATTTATTTGACAAACTTTCAACAATGAGGTATCACGTTTTATTAATTGCCTCACTTATATTTCCTCTTGTATTTATTTAATTATATCGAAACGAAAAGAAGTAAACAACAATATATTTCCTGTATTTATTTGATCCCTATCCATTATCCTCCGGTATATAAGCCATCTCTGCCTTCTATAAGATAAAAGTAAGTGTGGAAATCCCAGGATACTCGGTAGATTGTTTTTCTTCGAAACTAAAATTAGTTAAACGGTTGGATGATACGGCAACGTAACTTTTGTTGAAAAAGTTCAAACTCATTTGCGATGCGATGACACGACTCTCGTCTTTAATAGAATAATTACAAGTTTCGCGTCTACACCATCACCGTCATAATTGAGCGGCATCATGATCGCAAAAATTATACAACGGGATGATTTACCTGCGATTTAAGGTATTATGAGAATGGAAAAAAAAAGAAAACACAAAGGAAGAAATTATTCAAATTCTTGATGTAGATGTTCCTCCCAAATAACGAAGTATCTGTCGCAAACTATGTCGGAAACTCTTTTCTTAATTATATTAGTTGGTTAGCCCGAAACGCCGCAAGAGTTAATGAGGCTTTTTTGAAAGTTCGTAACGGCCATGAAGAAACAATAGCCCCATGAGCAGTAAAGAAATTTCCGCGAATCGTGAGGAAGAGTGTGCTTTATGCAAGTTCGCGCAAACTTAGATATTGTCGTTATTTTATTTTAATGGTTATTAATAGTTGAAAATATTACGTTGTTTTTTTTTTAGTGCCAACAAATGACAACTTTTCGCCAAGCAAACTTCTTGAGAAAAACCATAATTAATGTTGGAAAATCTATGCACTATAATTGTAAAATAATTTTTTTATAATTAATAAGATGAGAAATAAGATGAGAAGTATATATATCCTCAGAGAAGATGAAGATCGCAAATAAACGTAAATTTAAATTCAGATTCAAATTCTGACTCAGGTGTGAAATTCAAATTGAACACATAAATTAGATCGCTCTGATTTCTCTCTCTCTCTCTCTCTCTCTCTCTCTCTCTCTCTCTCTCTCTCTCTCTCTCTCTCTTTCTCTCTTTCTCTCTTTTTCTCTACAGTGCAAATAAAGTAAATCGTGCGCAATCTTTGACAACATAGCAAATAATTCACTGACCTGGTAGAGAACAAACCATCGTTGTTGCCATTTAGTGGAGTCAGCTGTCCGCTTGTGCAAATAACCCGACAGCGAATGATCGTAATGGGCTTTCTCCGAAAGCATGACTAGTTGAGCGTCATTTACTCTCACTGTAACACATCGCAGACACGTAATGCGCGTGTGAATGGAACAATTAAAACGTGTATATAACAGCCGCTCAGATTTAGGCAAGGAATGCAGCGCATGCAATTGCGTACCATTGCGCGAACTTTCACAAACACTTTCGCGAAATGAAATTTGTATGAGGCACAATTTGCAAATTTTTACAGAAAAAAAATTTCTTTTTCTCTGTTTAAAAAAATATTTTGACGTCAAAATTATTTTAATTTAACCGTTTACTCTTTATAATATATTTGAAATGCATATGTTTACCAGTTTTATGCTACATTGCGATTTTTGTGAGAATATATATTAATCGTGTACATAGGGATACACTTGCAAATCAGTGTACAATATACAAATATATCCAAATTGCAAAATTACATACGGGATATATCTATGCATTTACCGCATGATACATAATGCAACGCGCTGCATCATAATTATGTATGTGCGTCGAATTATCATACTATTCCAAAATAATAGTATTCAAAGTACCGAGGTGAATCTTGTTTACCGCATCATATGAATGTAAATATTAATAATCTCCGCCGATGACAAACGTGATAGCAAACAATATTGTTCAAATCCCGTTGTTCGTACAATGAATCAATGTCCAATATAAATTACAAGGTGCTCGTAATTAAAAGCGTACGGCTGTTATTTGAGGGAGCGAATGACAAATTTCACCAAGACAAATAAGAGAGATTAAAAAATTGTGGATTCCATATAATACAATCATGATTGAACGCGATCTGTCAAAACTAACATTTGTACAGTCGCGATACCGAGATATCGTTCACTACACTCGGGTCACCTCCGAGATTTCAATCTCCGACGATCTACAATTTCTAGTTCAGTCAGTGCGAATACAACTTTGGCTTAACTGCTGCTTCTGCAGCACAAACGCAAAAGTCGTCCGCTCGATCGACCAACACGTGTGTGACGTAAATTGTGAGGAGTCGCCGCGTCGCAACTCTCGGTTCGTACGTCGCAAACTTTTGTGATCGTGTGTTAACTTTACGGAGATACGCTCGACATTTAAGAAACTTTATTCCACTCGAACAAATCGAACTCGAAGTTTCCTGCGGATAGGCGACAAAATTCGTATAATACTCACTTGCCCGCATTGCCGTCGTGTGTTGCGCGAAAAATGGAGCAAAACGGATAAAACGCTATAAAACTGATTATTATATGCGGATAAAAAAATAGTCTCGACAATTATATCTAATATGCGGATAAAAAAATAGTCTCGACAGAAGCATAGAAAATTTTCTATATAAACAATAAATTTATATAAAATGAGCATTATCTCAATGAAAGCAATTCAACGAGAAGAGACAAATTTTTGCAATGTAAATATTACAATATCAAAAATACCATAAAATTAAACTTTTTTGATAGGCGCAGTTTCAGTATAAATAATATTATTTATTGAAACGAAAATACCATTAAAAAATTAGAGTCTCTGTCTTGTTAATTTAATACAATTGTAATTTAATAATTAAGGGTATTTTTTCGTTATAATTATGATTAATTAATTTAATTTATTGTATTTTACGTCGTTTATTATAATAAGTTTTTAAAATATTAATTTACAATTAAACTGCGCGTTCGCATTTATTAACTCTCATTATAGCAATGTTGCATATTTAAAATGAGTAATGAATCATCAAAAAATTATCTTGCATGAAAACACATGAATTTATAAAAAATATTCTTCCATGAAATTTCAATTCTATTTAATATTAATGCTTGTATTTGAAATAAATATTATTTAATATGAATCATAAAATCGCAAAATATTATCTGCGAAAATCTATATCTCTGTTACATATACTATATTACATTCATTATTTTATTACATGCATTATTTTATTAAGCTTGAAGTTGAAAGAATGAAATACATCTTACCAGTTTTTTGCATTTTGGGACTGAGCATGATCACAGGTCGTTAGCAGAAGGATGCTTCCCTCGAGTTGATCTTCACAGCGGTGATTGATTGTCCAGATTACCTTGTTTAGGTTCCAATAGTGTAGAAAATAACACCTTGTGTACTAAAGTTAAGTGTCAAGGATGTATCTCGATCGGTTTTGAAGACGCCAACTTTTACGTGGATTTATCGAAAGCCGCGCCGTAGCATCTGTGAACATGAAAGAAGATTTCTTTAATAAATAACGTTACTTTCGAAGGATTTTATATTAATAAAATTGTTATAACTTCAAGCAACAGCTACCATGTTCACGACAGAGATAAATCTTTGATATTTGGTAACATGTGTATTACGAAAAATATATTGACATTCAATCCAGTTCATTTTTGCAATGATATGTTATTGAGCTTCTGATAATGTCAATTCGTATAAATTAAATAAATTATTAATTAAATAAATATTATTATCAGTCGAGATTCAACACAATTGAAATCATTCATGTCTCTAAAAATTTGTCATATTGATATTTCGCGATATATCTACATAAATATGCTAAACACATCGGTGCAATAATGTCGTTTCATAATTGAGTCGAAACGAAATCAGAGTTGATTTTCTAACTGCACTTACGTTAACTCGAAATCTCGACGTTACTGATTCGAAATTTATTGATTGATTTTTATTTTATTTCCTTTTTCATATTATTATTTAAAATTATTTGGAATTATTTGTAAATCGCTTCCAATATAAAAAAACGAGCGTGTTAAAAGTAGGAAATTGAAGCGATAGCATACGCGAATCTCGCGGAAATAAGATGTTAAACTATTTACGATTAAAATCGATATTCTAGAGTATTAATTTTAGTGAAAGCGCGAATCTAATGATAGTCGTTTCACTCCGATTGCTCTCGATCAAACTGATTGCGAATGCAACTTTAATGCTTGTATATATATATATATATATATGTGTGTGTGTGTGTGTGTGTGCGCGCGCGCGTGTGTGCGTGTGTGTGTGTGTGTATTTAAATATCACATATTAATCTTTATTTTGAATTATCAATCCGCGCATTAATTCATCAATTATATTATATTAAATTAAAATAAAATTAATTCGTGGTTTTTGATAAAAAAGATTGTCTCTGTGTGCGAAACACCTCGGAATGCATTAATAAAAGATATTATATTATCACTTTAGGTTGTATAATTTGTAATATGAATTAAATATCTTCGATAACTCAAAAATTAATAAACGAGCTAGATACTTAATTAATTAAATTTATCGATTAATCAAATTTTACAGTTTATAAGTACATTCATAATCGTTAAAATGATTAAAATAGAAAAAGATTTGCAATATGTTTACAAGAAATATTTATGTTCTGCGTTACACGATAACTTTTTATTTAAAGCTTATGAGCCACGCGTAGCTCTGGGAGTTTTCCGATACGCCTAGCGATCCATTTTTTTACAACACACAACAGATGCAGCGTTTTAAAAATACCCGCATTTTCCAATTTTGTAGTTAATTACTCTGTTTGTTATTTCATGATATTTATTATTAAAATTGTAATTATGTTTTCGCATTCACTTAGAGATTATTGGAAAATATAATCGTTAATCATCTAATTTTAAAGTCAGTAAGAGAATAAGAGTAGAAAAATGCAATTCGTGACTTTGCATAATTTAAATTCGCTCTCTGTTACCATTTGTATTCGCAAACAAACGGATTGCGACTTTTTCCATCGATATTTGAGAAAAAAATCATCGATTCTTCAAAGATATCCATAAATATCCAAGAAGAAGAAGTGCAAGAAAATTATTTAGCAAGAGGAATAAAACAGAGGAGAGAAATGACGATAGGCACAAGAGAATCTTCCAGGACATGAATTTTCCAGGGAGGTGGAAAAGAGAGATCATTCTTGTTTCCCCTGTAGAAATAGTCTGTGATTTCCAAAAGCGAAGAGTCGAGGGGCGAAAAAGAAGAAGAGAAGAAGGTGGAAGAAAGTTCGAAATATTTCATATCTTTTTCACAATACCTGTTACTCCTGCGTGCGTATCTCGTCGCACGCGTCATTTGCCTCCTCCCTCCTTCTCATCCACCCTCTCTTCCGCCAGCTTCCGCCAAGTCGTCCGCGAGCGATCTCGCTTCGCCACCTGTTTGTGCCTACTCTCAAGACCGCATGCCGTATAACCACCCTCTTTTTCTCTCTCTTTTTTTCTCTTTCTCTCTCTCTCTCTCTCTCTCTCTCTCTCTCTCTCTCAATCTCAATCTCTCTACCGAACTATATATATATATATATATATATATATATATATATATTCCTTCTTCCCTCTCCTTTTCTTTTTTCTGCGACCACGAGTCGCACCGGAGGAGAAGGTCCGCCGGTGCGCGTGCCAACGGTTTTTATTCGCTAGTTTTTATCCTTCTTTTTGTGATGATTTCTCGTGACGATGATAAAAGGACAGTTTCCAAATGCCGGCTCTTTTATTTCAGACACAACCGGGACGTTGATATAGACGACGATGTTGGCGGAGACGACGTCCCGTGGTGACGGCCGGCGGTGACGGCACCCGACGCTTCTCTTCTCATGGTCGGAAGACGCGCGGACGACCTGCGATGTAGCGGCGTTGGCGGTTGCGACGTGCCTGACGCGCGGGGACGACCGACCGACCACCGACCGACAAGCTCCGTCCTCCGCTTATACCGCGACACGCGCGCGTCCACCGCCCCGCAAAAGGATCCCGGAGGCTGCGCTGGATGGGCCTGCAAGTGCGCAAGCTCGCAAGCTCACCCTTTTCCCTTCGTATGCGCCTCGCCTTCTCGGCAATTCCTGACAGAGAGAAAGAGAGAGAGAGAGAAAGAGAGAAAGAGAGAGGGGGGGGGAGAAGAGGGAGAAATCTACCTGTGCTTGCCTGCGTACCTGGCCCTTGTCGAGGGGCCACCTTGGATCTTCAACATCGACAACACCCTCGTTGGCTAACCCAGGACTAAGCTGCACATACTAACTATAATAGTAGAAAGCGTTTATTTTAACTACCTACAGAAACACTTCAAACAACAGGTAACATGTCAAAGCAAAACGTCTTGAAATACATAGATAAATACATAGAAAATTACAGAAAAGGGAGCAAAATATAAAACAAGATATATTATATATGTATTTGCATACGCGTGTACGTGTATGTGTATGTGTGTGCGTGTGTGTGGATATATAGGCAAAGGTTCTGCGAGGGAAAATCCGCAAGCGCGTGTCTCTTATCCATGAAAATTAATAATGCATCGCCCCTTGACAAGGGCCACATTAACCGTGACCCCGGTTAATCCGGTATAGTCGATCACGGGAATTAAATTTTTTTTTTTTCGTATATTTATATAGGCCTTGGAAGAATATTTATAATAGTCTAATATTAAAAGTCTAAAAAGAATATTTTTTGTTTGATAAAAGAAGATATTAAATATTTAAGTTTAACAAATTTTATTAAGAGCTATTAAAAGAAGAGTAGCTTCTTTTCATGTAAAAAAAGAATTAAAGACAAATTAGAATTAAATGCAAGATAAGATTTTGCACTTCTTATGCTTGATTTTTTAATTTTTATAATATACAGCGGAATTTGACATGTTTGTCAGGAATTCTTTAATTCGATCTGAGAAATTTATTCCATTGTAAAATTTGTTACCAATCTTTTTTTTGTCGGACGCGCGTCAATTCGCGTATTGTATACGTAGGTGCTACGTAGAGAAGGAAATAATAACGGATGCAAAACAACATAATTATGTAACGAGAGTAACGCGTAAACAGTCGCATTATTCGTAAAGCGAAATTATAGATATGTCTCCCTTTGATTATAATCGGGTTGTCGACGTAACACTGGAATATCGCAACAGGCGCACATGTGTACCCGACGTCTTGTGCATTAGGAACGACGGTAAACTCCGCGTTGCGAGAACGAAACGCAGTTTTATCGTCTTCGACGAAACACGGCGACTCGGATATACATCACGCATATGCGTGCAAAGAGAAATATCCTCTCTTCAATCCTCTCTCATGCTAAGTTGTTTTCAGAATGATCAAAGGGGCATTTTGTCAGTGTCCGTAACATACCTAGGGTATCATGCGGTGCACCGCAAATTCGCATTACGGCGAAAGTTCAAAGCTAAGTTTTGTAAATTGCAATTTTCAACATTGCAACATTGTCGCAAATATTGCTGCGATATTTAGTACGGATAAGTTCCTTCGTTCTACTTTCTTTTCTTAGGATATAAACTTTCATAAATTTTCTTTACGGATGTTATCTTGCAAGATTGTACAAGTGCATTATTATTGATAAAGGTTCGCAAATGAGGAGAGAAAAAAATTTTTTCTCGCCTTTTATATAATGTACATTTATTACAAAGTCCATTTTTTTTTAAATACATGTTTCCTACGAACGGTGTAACATAAATATACATAACTTTAATTAGACAAAGAATAACAGCATGGATAAAACGTCAAAAAAATTATATGTATACATATATACGAAGAAAAAAGTAAATAAAAAGTATAATATTCTTTTTCAATTGGATCTGATTTTATCAAATGTACATGGTTAATATTTGTGCGCGCGGATAACGAAATAGAATAATAGTAAAAAGATGACAAAATATTTCGAGCTTTATATCCGATTTGCGCTTGGAAATCTCTTTGTATTACGAAATACTATTTTCCTATTTATATCAGCGAGAGTTGTTCAATTTGTGATGTATGCTACATTGATAGATAAATTTCTCTCTCTGCCAATCAAGCTGCAACGTATTATTTCACATGTACGTTTAAATACAATAACGTCATAATGTTATAATTTAATTTTCATGCACTTACAGTTCTGTCTATTTTAGGTTTAGACGATTCCGTATTTTCCATTTGTTTCTTCTCATCATCGAAAAATCTGAATCATTATTGCAAAACGTGTATATTATTAATATTGAAATTAATAAGTAAATATATAAAAAATAAGTAATAATAAATATGTATATATAGAGAGAGAAAGACATAACATAATACCTATGTTTTTGTTTAAAATCGCGAGAGTATAATTCTGTTATAGCAATTTTCTCATTATTTTCCATATTCAGATTTTCAGAAATGAGTTTATCTTTACTTATTTTTCTATTTAAAGACAATTTATTCTCTCTCGTGTACTGTTTATGTAAAGTGAACTTATTATAGAACTTATGCTCTTCGGAATTATTCCGAGGTCTGTAATGATTTTCCGTTTCGGTATGTGTAATATTTGATTCAGTATTCTCAGCTGCGTGTGAGATCAAAATGTTGATTCGATTATGTAATTCCGTCAATTCTTTCAATTTCAACGACTAGAAAGGATGATAAAGGTTGTAAAAGATGCATTAATTGATTTCCTTTTCTGCACATGCATACCTGTAACCAATTCTCCGCATCAAACGGGCTTTTCTCGACTTTCATAATATCTTCGAATCTTGTTTGCAGTCTTTCAACGTTCTCGTTATGTCTTTTACGTAAAGCGTTCAAACTGCTATCATATTTTTTCTTCAACAATGCTAATTTGTTTTGATATTCCTCTACCTGGCACTGTTAAATCAAAGTAAAAATATTTATAAGAAATTATCCAAAAGAAAAATTCCACAAAAGAAAAAAATATATGTACTTTAATTTTAGTTTGTAAGTCGTTCTTCTCCTGCAACAGATAAGTAATGCACTCTTGAAGATTCTTTATCTCGTAATCTCTTAGTTTTACGTCATCTATTAAATTCTTAATTTCATGCAGTTTGCTCTCGTATTGTTCCTCGAGGAATCTTAACTTGTGCACAACATTCTCATTATCATTATTAGAATCTCCTTCTTGAACGGTCGAAACTAATTCATTACGCGTGCATTGACTCGTGTAAAATTCCTCATCTTGTTGACAAGACTTGGAAGAAATTGTTATCATTATTCAAATTGCATCCGAAATAATTATTACGATAAAAGAAACAATAAAATTTAGTAAATTTATTTACCTTATCAGCATATACTTTCGCATGTTGGTTTTCTTTTACATTTTCCAAAATTTCTTTATTTTGATACTGCTCAGGCACGTTCTCCATCTCTTCGTCATGTTCTTTAGTTTCCGTTCGAAAGCGCATGATTTTCTCATAAATTTTCCCAGGAAGTGTATACAATGTATCTTTCAAGGATTGTTTGATCGTGTCTTCGTCTATATGTAACAAATGATCATTAGTATCTTTTACAGTGTCTATGTCGGTTTTCAATGTCTCATTTCTCTCCGATAACGTCCGTAGTTCATTTTCGATGTTCGCCGTGGAACTTTGACAACTCGCTATCTCGCTCTTCAGATAGTCCACTTTGGCCAATAGCTTCTCTTTATCCAGATCTAAATCCGATAGATTCGCTTGCAGAACATTTATCACGACCATATTGTCGCTCTCTCTTCTCAATAATGAAATCGTGTCGTTGCTCCGAGCGAATTCAATTACAACTTTGCTCAACTGGTCGCACAACGATTGATTCTCGGTCTGCAGTTTCACGATATCGTCCTGCTTTTGCGTTATCATAGCATCGTATCTAATGCTTTCGTGCGTTAAAGCCATTCTATTCTTTTCATCTTTACATTTCAGATCCGCTATTATTTCCGCGTTCTTAGAGATAATCTCGTTAGCTTGTGTAAGCTTATTCTTAAGATCATTATTCTTCATCTGCAGTTCTATCAATCTGTCAAACCGATAAATATCGATTTTAAGAAAGATCGATCGAATATTTTTAACGATAAAATTAACGATGGTACTAACTTTTTTTTCATATTGTCGATATTATTCGTTTCGTCCTTTAAAGTATTGATGGTCTGCTGTAGGTCATCTATTTGTTGATTTAATTTGCGCATCTGTTCTCTCTGTACTCTTAATTCTTCGTTTTGCGCGGTATTTGTATCGAAGAGATTAACGTTTTCGCTTTCTAACGCGAGAAGATCCTTGTGCAGTCTCTCAATCTCCGAGTCTCTCTTATTTATTATAGCTTCCAACACCTTTTCCTTCTCCAGCATCCTTTTTCTTATCTGCTCTTGAATCATGCAATCCCCTTCGCCTCTCTGCAACATATGTTCTGCCATTTTTTGCTTCAATTTCGTAATCTCAAGATCCTTCTTTTGCAATTCCTGTTGCTGCTTCGCGAACTCTTTAACGATCTGCACGTGATGATCCCCGGCGCCTTAACGAATTTGTGTAACTGTCAATCGACTTGTCACCAAAAAATTAGATAGCGAGGTACTTTACATGTTATACCTTGAAGTGCTGTGGATATCTCGTGTATCTTGTCGATGGACCGTTTGATATGTGTCGCGAGAGCGTGATCGATTTCCTCATACGAAATTACTTCGTTTAATTCCACCTTTTCCGACTCTTCGGAACACACTGCACTAGAATCGATATCATCCGACTGAATCTGAACGTTAACTAATTCTTTAGATGAATGACAATCGCCGCAATTACTCGACGTGGAGCCTTCTGCAATATTATTGAAATTTATTAGAATCTATGCGCGCGTATCACAGATTATCTATTAATATGCATATCGATCAATATGCAATAAAACATAATCTGCCAATAATGAATTATTTCCTATGCACGTCATTATAATTTAACTTGAGCCTCGGAATATACCTGCAGCCGGCTGGATCGATCCGTGTCCGGTATCAAAATCTGTGTTTGTAATCTCGCTGACGGACTCTTGGCTGTAACATGCCACATAAGCCTTTAAGTTATCTATCTCCCGCAGACGATTACGTCGTTCTAGTTTACACTCTTCCAACTCGGCTATGAACGCTTTTAAAGCGGACAACGCGCTCTGGACATCTAAGCAAGTGTCGTGCTCGCACTTGGTGTACTCGCAAATTCCCTCATACGCTATCTTAGACTCGTCCAAATTGTTCAAACTACTTTTCAGCATGTTAGTTAGATTACCGACTTCTCGCTCCATGCAAATTAGCTGCATTTCGCACTGCGAGATCTTCTCGTTTTTGACCTGAATCTCATTTTTCAAGTTGGCCACTACATCATTCATCTCTACCTGATTGTGAACACAATTTTACTAGGTATCTATTTATACACTTCTCCGTAAAGTCAATGTAGGCTTTAGGATTAGAACTGATTACGTATACCGGACATCTAGTTTATTAATATAATATTATATTATACCTAATCATTTTTATAAAGCGCGATATTAGTTTTTTTTTTATATATTTACTACATTTTTATATATTGCTCGTAAAATTTATTTTTTAGCTCTGCGAAAAAAACGAAGGTATTTCATTAAAACATTATCTCTACATTTTCCTACAATTTCTTTTTTATTGAAAACTGTAACTCTCTATACATCTTCAATAATCGATAAGTCTGCAATTAAAATTTAATTATATACATTTTTATAAGCTAAAAGCTTAAGGTAAAATGTGACGTTGTGCTGACATTTTCGAGAAAAATCTGTTTCCTATTAATTGACTCGACATTAAAATTGCGAGAATATGATATGATACACGAAGCCAAATGACGCACCTCACGAGTGTCGGCGTCAACAGACATTTGCTTTATCAACGTCAATAGTCGTTTTATTTCGTCTTCTCTGTCCGCCAACGTGCAACTTTGTTCATGATATTGCTTTTGAAGTATATCCCGCTCTCGCCAAACATTTTTCACCTGCTCTAAAGCAATACCGCAGCTTTCCGCTTCTTTCGATAAATGCTCCATTTTTTTCACCTTCCGCTAATTTATCATAGTTTTATATGTATATTAATCCATTAAACTCTAGTCAAATTTAATTTTTCTAAGTAATTATATTACATACTATGTCTCGTATACTAACCGTAAGAGATTCGTTTTCTACGAAAAGTAATTCTGTCTCTTTAACTTCCTGTCTAAGTTTTTGGATTTCTTGCGATTGAAAATAACAAACTTGACATTTTCTACTTAATTCTATCTTCAATTGATCAACCAGACATTCCGAAGAAGAAAGCTAAATAATGGATAATATAAAACTCAGTTAGAGGAAAATATGTATAATTAAAAAATAATTATATGTATATAAAAAATAATTTTTAAAAATCTTTCTCAGAAAATAGACTATACATATTACTTTTGCATTTAAATTTTCCACTTCGACATTGCGCTTGTCGTTTACTATTTTCAATTTTTCTTGCAAGATCTACGATGTAAGATATAAATAATTACAAACTTTTAAATAACACATAGTTAATAATAAATAATATTGATTTACATTAAAATTATGTCTCAAAATATTTGCGTTTTCATCCTTTTCTTTCAATAATGTTTGTAAATGCTTATTCAATTCTCGCAGATCTTCTAGCTCATCTTCCTTCATCTAAAGGAAAAAAAGATGAAAAAAAATTTACTGCACATATGTAGATATGTAGATATTTTTGTTAAATAAAAATCTCGTTTTGATAAAAATTCCATTAATAATTAATATTAATTGTTTCGTACTCCGAGTTCGTTCTTCAAAACGATAATTTCCGAATCTTTTTGAATAATCACTCCTTTATGATTTTTTTCACAGACTTCAGGATCCAAATTTAGCCTCAACTCGCTTTCAGATGCGGTTACGCTTTCGCTACTTTCACAATATTGACTAGACGACCAGTCAACATTAGATTGTCTATTATAAACCTCACTTTTATACTTGTCCGTTTGTACACCCACTTCGCAAACATCTTGCATTACTTGAGAAGATGCGTCAACATACTCGATGCAAATATTTGTTCGATCGTTATACTCTGCTGAATTTATTACAATTCAAGTGATATAAATGTGAATATGAATTTATTACAATTCAAGTGATATAAATTATTTTAATTTTTTTAAACTGGCCGAAAATTATTTCACAAAAAGAGTTTTTACATTTTAATTTTCGACAAGTGGAAATCCTTATAAAATGACTTTTATATTGTAAGTTAATTTTTTTACCTTGTGCGGATCTCGCGGTTAATATATCGCAAGATGTTACACGCGATACCAGATAAGTATTATTTTCCGATGTTTTCGCGTTCAAATTCTCTCTCAAAATGTGCGCATTAGTTAGTAAAAAATTGTTAATTCCTCTATCGTATCGAAATCTTCTACCAGGATGAAAATACATTGACAGATATGTGTCAGAATGTTGTAAAGCAGCAATCTTATTTGCGTTGAATAATCTTCGTCCTTCCTGAGAGAGCGGTTTTATTATAGCTTCAACTTTCATTTCTTTTGTATCATTAATCCCGATGGTAGTAGCTTTGTCCTACCAACGGATAGGACTGTTGTTATTCGATTATAAATATAAAACATCTTAGCATATTATTAATCAGGAAGCTTACAAAATTTTCCAGGTATTCTTGTTGTTCCGAAGTAAGCTTCAAAGATTTATATTTTCGTAATTCTCGCCGTGCAACGCGAAGTTCATTTTGAGCTTGAGCCGTAAGTCTTACCATGTTTTGCATTATCACATTCAATGGTATCACTCTTCCTGGCTGTATGAAAAGGAGCAAGATAATATACGTTCTATTCCTGTCTTTCATTAACATGATTTATTTAGTAAATACGCATATATAAAGTGCATGAATAATGATATAATGTACTGAATAATATGCTAAACAAATATTTGGCAAAATATAAAATATAAATATAAAATACAAATAGAAAATTCTATTTATTTTTTTCATAATCAATAATGGTTCATATTTCGAGATTGCACGTTTAAAAATTTATGAATTTTTTATACAGAAATAATTGTGTTATATGCGTATGTATTTGTATGTTAAAAAATATATAAATATTATTTCTAATAAATAACAGTTCGCGGTGTTCTGAAAGACATTCGCAATTAGAAAACAAACCGCAGGGTCATGTTCGTTGAGCTCGCGAAAGTAACGCGTACTCTCTAAGATATTTGGACTCCAAGCTCGGATGTCCGTACAGGAATTGTACAGCTTCAAACGACCTTCCGATCTTTTCTTCGGAAAGACATAATCTCCGTAAGTCATGGGTACACCACTGCTCGGTCTGCCCGCCAAAAAGATGCGTGGTCCATGCTCGGCGTAAGACATGTCTGTCTGGTATTTTAAATCCCTTTCGGTCGGATGTGTACAAGATTTTCGTCGCCCCTTAAGCTTAATAAAAGACCGTTAAGCATCTAATTTTTATAAAAATCATGACCCATGTAAGGTTACATATTTTGGTGTTGACTGTATCATATTTTATTTATACACCATAGTAACGGAAAAACGGTATAAGGTACGAGAAGCATCTGAATATTCAAAATATAATTAGAGGAACGTGGAATTATGTGAGTAAATAATAGGGTAAATTGTATAGAAAATACAATAAAATATCTTTATTTTATAAGCTGCCATTAAGAATTACAGCGTTAATAAGTACTTTCGTCCTCGTAATGTATTATAACTATCTCTTATTCATACTAAGAACTATGCGACTATTGCGTAAAATATATGTCTAATTTCATTTCATGAAGGCTAATTTAGCACTGGCATCCCTCCACGTAACAACTACGGTTCGACAAAGCACTAAATACAGACGAAAAAGAATTTCTTATAAATATATCTAGTTTGCACTCTATTTGGTTAAGTACAAAAGTGATTTCTCGTTTAGACCAACAAAACATACTGATTAAATCTAATAATAAGATTATGTTACATTAATCCTTTAAATCATTCTTTCATTGAAATGCACTTTTTCCGATTTACATATCATAACTCTTTTTTAAGAAAAACAATCCTTTTAAATATTATACATGATCCGTGACGCATGAATGTCCCAGCTAAGATAAGAACATTCGAGAATTAAAAAAAGAAAAACATGCAAAATATATATTAGCGATATATTCGACGAAATCGATAATGCGATTAATAATTCGGCAACCGACAGGACCGTTAAAAATACGCTTATCGCGGAAGTCCACGTGATATACTTGCAATTATTTAAAAAAAATTCAATGGAAAATAATATATCTAAGAGAGATATTATATACACACATGCACGCACACACACACACACACACACGCACGCACGCACGCATGTACATACACACATATTTTTCCGAATTAAGTAGAAAAAATGGGATCAAATGCATATAAAAATAGATTCGCGGATAACTATGAAGGCAGTATAGATTTCTTAGAAACGTTATCTCGCTTTCTTTTCAACGATGTAAATATATGTAAATATATTGGAATGTAATAATGCTTCCTAACATTAATTCCTTTGATAAAGGCACACAAGATTATACAAATAACATTATTTTACACATGAAAATAAGATCGTTATTCTCCTGATGTTTCGATACCTATCGTCCTAAAACGCATTTCCTCAGTCTGCAATTGGATAACAGATAACATAGATAAAAATGAAATTAAAATTCGAAAACTTCAACAGTCTAACCATGTGGTGAAGTGACGAAGTAGATACACGAATAGACGTGTGACTGCATTATAAAAAAAGGGAACACTTCTAGTTTTATATCATTTTTAAAAGTAGCTGGAATGATGTATAATGTAAGGCCACTTTTGTTTTTTCTATCGCCATCATATTAGACAAGAAAGATTTATATCGATATTTCCTCCGATCATTATTTACATTAACATAAAGGCCTCTTTCAGTCGAGACAAGTTATTGAGTCTCATTTTCTGTGCATTATATACAATCAAGTGTCATTAGTGAGCATCTGGATGACGAGCAATACATTATTTCAATTTTAAAAATATCCATTACAAAAAAAAATCATATCGATTTCATATTTATTAAGTACTATTTTTTAAGTACATATTAGTTTTAAGTAACTAATTATTAAATGAAACAATTGTGGTGATACTTTGAATACTATAATTGATATCAAATTATTTGTCGAGTATATTAGATAAATAATACTTTATAAAATAGAAAAATCAATCAAATTTCAGATTTAAGTATAGTTTTTTTGAATATTACTCTTTCATCGATTATGAAATTATTAGAAAATATAATAATCTTATTTTTAGAAAATATAAATAATCTTATATTTTTCTTTAAATTTCTTCCAAAATTGATAATTTAATTGCTCTCGATTAGTGTTATGTAAAAATGACTTGTAAATATAAAGAAAATGTTTTAATCAATAAAGTTCAACTATCGAGAGAAATTTCAATATTGTAAAAGGCACTAGAGTATAAATATAAAAAAAATACAATAATTATTTTCTCTTTCCATTACTCTCTCTCTCTCATTTTTAAGATATAACGTTATTAAAATAACAATAAAATATAAGACTGATGACTGATTCCACAATTGCTCTGTTTCTCATAAAAACAAGCATACGATGCTCTTTTCCATATGCATTTCTTTTAATCTTGGAATTTACATGAAATATCAATCAATTTTCAATCAATTGCAACTTCTTTCATAAATTGATTTTTTCTTTTGATACTATTTCTTTCATTTTTCTATATATTTATCTTATCTCGACATTTTACAATTAGATCTTCATTCTCCTCATGATTTTAACATGCAAGGCATTCAGCTTTCAGAGTCGAAGTCATAGAATAGCATTAGCTATGATTTTATAATTCGAAGACATATCTTATACTGTAATCAACAAACTCCTTACATTAATCAACGTGTCTAAAAACTTTGTAAAATTCCAGGATCAACATGATTATTGTCGTGTATACATGTTTCCCTATAGGATCTTATTCCTAGAAACTTCTCTCGCGAGTAAATATTAGCGGACGCTAAAATTGAGCATAATTTAACCCTCCGCCAACAGATTCTGAGTCACTCATGATCTATATTTTAAGAATGTTTTATGAAACTCGTGCAAAACACACATTTCATATATATGTGCATTATACAAAAATATCAATATATAATTCTTATTTTTTTCTTTTTAATTTTCAATACACAGTAGTATTTTAAGAAAAACAGATGTATAAGAATACAATATATATTCTTTTTTATGTATCTCAGATTAAAATCCATTATAAAATTTTAATTTGAGATATTATAAAAAGATTTTACTATAGATCAAAATTGACTCAGCCTTCGCGGCTATCACGCTGTCTATTATCCAAGGATTAATTAATCAACCATAATCATCTTAGAGATGCAGAATACCTTGATCGTGACTGTAATTTTGGTGATGATGATGATGGTGATAGTGATGGTGTTGAGTAGACGACGCCGAGGCGTCGTCTTGTATTGTCAAACCGGTAAGATCGACAATCTCATCCGCTTCCTCATCGCTACCGGCACTTTGCGTGGACTGGTGACTTCCCGAAGATAATTGACTGTTACGCGAAAATGATCCACGCCGAGGTGCAGCCAACGCTGCCCTTTGGTTTGCAGGCTTGACGGTTATGATGAGATTGCTAGAGTTCGCTATCATCATATCAGTCACCTATTTCAAACATGAATCACCATTTAAAAAAAAGGAAAAAGAGTGAATTACTATTTTGTTATATAATTACTTCATTTTTGTGGAATTATAGATCTTTAGTTATTGCAGAGAATGTTTTAAATATGCTATTATAAGGAGCGCTTTACAAGAATAGCAATTGAAATATAAATAATTATATAAGTATAAAACAAAATATTTTAAAATATATTTTCTTCAAATAAGTAATACTGCTTTGACAATTACAATTATGATTCTTATACTAATATTTAATCATTTCATATCACTTTCAATATATCATTTTTATGAAACAATTTTCTATAAAAAATCTCACCTGATCAAGTGTTTTGCCTGCAACTTCTATGCCATTCACTTCCAGGACTTCATCATTTACAGCTAAAAGGCCTGTGCTCTCTGCTAAACCACCTGGCACTAATCTGCTGATAAACACTCCTGGAACTTTCTCAATTCCCCCTCCAGCTGACGATGGCAATATGCGAAAGCTTTCGCCATCTTTAATATAAAATCCTAGGGGTTTATCAGAACCGTGTTTCAAAAGACGCACACGTCGACAGGTTTCTGGCAGTATGTCGACATCAATAATTGCAGATACCTAATTGCAAGAATAAATGAATGTTAAATTAATTGATATTATAATGCACACTGGAGATTAACCAACAAAGTGTATACTTACCTGCCTAAAATCATGTGGATTGGAAATAGCAATAGATTTTGGCTTTCCTGGCGTACCACCCAGAATACTAGATATCAGGTTTTTAGGTTTTATTGTCCCATATCCATTGTCCCATGCTCCATCACCTGTTATAATTATAATTGAGTAGAATGTGCATGTATATGCATATATATGCAGAAGATATATACAAAATCATGAATAAATTTACCTTTCCTCTGTATAAAAATTCTGAGCAGACTCCTGGTGGCCAACAGTGCTCTAGCCAGATTGTTATCATTATTGATAGGAAGTAGATCACCATCTGTATCCGTGTACCAAATTAAATAGTTAAAATCTGCTCCTAAATCATGCCGTTGCGCCAACAGTTTACCAAAATCCTCATAGCTCATAGGCTCGTTACGATTGATGGAGAATCTGATGATGTCGGCGTCAAACTGCGAAACAATTTAAGCAATGTACTGTTCTCACGTTCAATGAACATATTTTGAAGTTACTCTTTATTAACGATATATATACCCACTTTGCTCTTCACGGCGACGATGCCGTTGTCCACCTTGTCCTGTTTCTTGGACATAGCAACGTAGAGATATAACAAGTATGGACACACTTTCGCGCTGTCGACACCTTTAATTTTTGGCAACGAGCTTGAATGGGCTTGAATCAATGAATTCGTAGAGTTCAGTGTCTCGAACAAACTTGGCCCCGATATATATAGTACCGCAACTCTTCCAATTTTATGTTGGCCAAAACAGAGTGCGTATGCGCGAAATAATAGCGTTTTCGAATGGTCGAATTTAATCGCTCCAGAATAATTCACTACGTTATTGATCAATCATAGCCATTCTTCTGAAGAATATATGGTTACATTTTTCAGAAGTATGACTGTGATTGGTCAATGATGTTATCTCATTTACTAGGCTGGGATTCGATTGACCACGTCGCCAATTGGCCAATTCAAAATAGGACTCTCTGATTGGTTAATCGTTGCTGGTTACCCTAGGCACAGGTCGATATAATTGGTCAATCGGAACGTGGTCAAACGAGACGCTCTCCATTTACTCCTTTGTATTCATTGGCCGCATTCAGCGGACTCAACCGCTAAGTAGCAATCGAATATGATTGGTTTCTACTTTCAGGTTCGACCAATCAGCGTCGAGTTACATCGGAAAATCTAGAAATGCCCAACTGTTGAATTCCTTTGATATATGTTGGCAATCTTGCTACTATTCAATAATACCGGTTGTATCGTTTAGGTTGATTGTATAGCTTTAAGCGGCCTTTTCATTGACGCTACTTTTTAGCGTCAATGAAATTGCACCTTAACAGTTGGCAGCCCTACGAGATAGGCTGTGCAGCACTGCGCGTATATAAAATAAATTTGAAATCGCTTCTAGCCTAACCATCTTCATGCGATCGACTTTATTTGAATTGCACGGCATCTCATCGAATTATGATGCGGCGCCGATTTGTTCGAACGTAATTCGGGACATCGCGATGCTGTATAAGCGTTGAATGAGCACGAATTGTCACGCAAATATGATAAATCACATCTACTCACCGTTCACCGGCTGTTCCACAGGCCGCTCCACTCATTCGCCTCGAGACGTCCCATTCCGATCTTGATGCACACGATATCATCAACGCGAACGCGCGACACTTTATTCGGCACTCCTGATATTCGCTCGCATCCGATAATCATCATCAAGGGCGCAAATAACGCGACGCGATTTCGTTCCATCTTCGCAATCGCGCTATCACTGAACTGTGAAAAATAGCTGTCGCGCACTTTCACCGACATATTATGAAAGTCGCGCGATCATCCTTGAACACTTTCGACGCTTTTTCACTCGCGACATTCGTTTAAAAACGGTTAAAAGACACAAAAAATGCGGACGTACGACGATCCGTGTAACTGCGTATGACTCCGATTCACGTATGACGCGTATGACGTAGCTATGACGCGTATGACGTAGCAGTCACGCGCCAACATGGCGGCCGAACTAGTGCGCATTCGTTTCTGCACACTGGTTCGGCCGCCATGTTGGCGCGTGACTGCTACGTCATACGCGTCATACGTGAATCGGAGTCATACGCAGTTACACGGATCGTCGTACATCCGCATTTTTCGCGTCTTTTAACCGTTTTTAAACGAATATCGCGAGTGAAAGAGCGTCGAAAGTGTCCAAGGATGATCGCGCGACTTTCATAATATGTCGGTGAAAGTGCGCGACAGCTATTTTTCACAGTTCAGTGATAGCGCGATCGCGAAGATGGAGCGAAGTTGCGTCGCGTTATTTGTGCCCTTGATGATGATTATCGGATGCGAGCGAATATCGGGAGTGCCGAATAAAGTGTCGCGCGTTCGCGTTGATGATATCGTGTGCATCAAGATCGGAATGGGACGTCCCGAGGCGAGCGAGTGGAGCGGCCTGTGGAACAGCCGGTGAACGGTGAGTAGATGTGATTTATCATATTTGCGTGACAATTCGTGCTCATTCGACGCTTATACAGCATCGCGATGTCCCGAATTACGTTCGAACAAATCGGCGCCGCATCATAATTCGATGCGATACCGTGCAATTCAAATAAAGTCGATCGCGTGAAGATGGTTAGGCTAGAAGCGATTTCAAATTTATTTTATATACGCGCAGTGCTGCACAGCCTATCTCGTAGGGCTGCCAACTATTAAGGTGCAATTTCATTGACGCTAAAAAGTAGCGTCAATGAAAAGGCCGCTTTACACACTGAAAAAGTTGAAACTGTTTGAACTTTATTTTATTGACGCCATATCTAGAGAAAGTCTAGTGATTTTAATTTGCCGCTGGTTTCTAGCGTCAATGAAATTGCACCTTTAGTGTATTTTATCGATGATTGAGTGTTGTCATTTAATATTGTCAAGTGTTGTTACGTATATTCTGTTAATTTTTCTGTAAAAGATTAATACAGAAAGAAACAAGATAAATGTAAGGAAATAGTAAAAAAGTTTAAGAAATAAAAATAAGTAATTGATAATTATTATAAGTTAATCAAAATAGAAAATCAAACTTCATGTTTATATATTCTTATATTCACTATATTATTTAGTATGTAAAAATTGTAATATAGTGTATTATTAGTATATTATTATAAACAAAATAATGTGGTTTTTAGATGGATGATCAGGATCCAACAAGTGTCATTAATATGATAAAAGATCTACGTTCTGGAACGGAGTCTTATCGTAAAAGTATTGGAGCATCGCTACGATTTTCAGGAGCTAGTTATATACGTACGAAATTCAATGAAAGTGATGATAGTGTTATTTCACCAAAACGGCAAAAACTAAATGAATCAGATACATCTATAATTAATCAAACTCAATCCGATTCTGCTCCAGGTAGTCCTTGGGAATGGCGACGTATGAAAGGAGAGGTAAATTGACATGTATATTAAAAATGGTATTTAATAATTATGCAAATATATAATAAATATATAATAAATATGCAAATTATAATAAAATGCAATACATAATTCAAATACATAATTCTAATAAAATAGATATAATTTGAATAAGTATATATGGAACAATTTAAAGAAAAATATATTTCCATACAGGTTATATCATTAAAGACCAGATTGACTCATCAAGAGGCAACTGTACAACAATTACACAATGTACGCAGGCAAATGGAAGAAATTTTTGAAAAGGAAAAAGGTCTCCTACAAGTCCAAGTGGAACAGGATGCACAAACTATTCAACAGTTAGAAGTCCGACTTGATGTTGCACGACGAACAATCCAAGATGCAAGAGAAGCACAAGCTATTGCAGAAAAAGAATGGTCCCAGGTAATTATCTTACATATTAATTCATGTGTTTGTTCCATAACATACTTTTATATTTGCATTTTTAATTTTTTAATTTTGTATTTTATTAGATAAGAAATAATTTGGAAAAAAAAATAGCATCATTATTAACTGAAAATGCACAATTATCGGAGAATCTGAAAAATGCTTCCACAAAAGAAAGCTCTTCCCCTCTTCAAGACACTAGTGAATCAAATGAATTGCAATTAAAGTTGGAAACTATGGAAGCTAAAGCAACAATGTTGGAGGGAAGGATGAAAGACTATCTCAAGGTACAACAGGACTATGAATTGCAGAATGTGGAGTTGCAGAATATGAAAATTAAATTAGAAAAACTCGAGTCAGAAAGAGCATTATGGGAAGAGGGCAAAATGTTAGTAGGGAGAGCTGCAAGAGCGAACGATCTCGAGAAAGAGTTGAATGTAGCAAAAAAGACTATTGCAGTATTAAAAGAGTCAGTGAGAGAGAAATTACTCTTAGAAGAGCAAATGGCTAATATGACGAAAAGGTACTTTCTGTGTTTTTAGAATAAAATACATTTGTTTAATGATGTATGGTTTGTTACAGGCTAGAGCACACTGAAAAAGTAGAGCAACAAGTAGCGGTATTAGAAGCAAAGCGATCTGAACTTGCACTTCGCTTGCAAGAATACGAAACGATTGGTATTATTGGAGGACCAACGGCGGTGAAGCGAGAGTTGAACCGACTTCAACAAGCTGAAGTGGACTTGAGAGCAGAAGAAGGTCAGCTCAGATCAAGATTAGATGCAGTTCTGCGAGAGTCGCAGAACTTGTCAAAAAATTATGAAAATGCGAAGAAGTTAGCTACTGATGTGACATCATCAAAGGAGAAACTAAATAAGCTCGTAAGCAGATTGCAGAAGAAGATGATTCTTGTTACCAGAGAAAGAGACAGTTATAGACAACAATTAGATTTGTATGAGAAAGAGATGACAGTGGATGGCAACAACGCGATGACCGAGAGAATACCAGCTCTAGAACGTGCTATAGATGGATACAGGTATATTCATATATTAATACATATCGCAACTATTTGATTAAATTGACAATTATTTTATAAAAAAGAAAAAATTTCAATATTATTTTAGAGATTTAGTTAATAAATTGGAAGCAGATCTTCAAGCGGTCGAGACTGGCACAAAAAAGAACGAGTGTAATAAATTGAGAGAAGAGATCGAACAATTGAAAGGCGAACTCGAGCATCGCGCATTAAAGGGCGATTTCAATTGCAACGCTCGAGTTCTACATTTCACAATGAATCCTTCAGCTATAGCAGAGAAACAAGCTGAAGAAAAACAAGCAGCTCTATTACGAGAAGTAGAAGAACTTCGAGCCAAAGTGGGATCAGGAAATTATGGCGCGACTACATCATCATTGCAGATACAAGGTATATAGATAATAATATTTATGTCTTATTTGCCTTATTCTTTGCACAATCATTTATTTTTTTTAATATAGAAATTGCAGAATTAAAACAAACACATGAAATAAAGATAGCACGCTTAAAGGAAGCTTTTAAAGCATCATCACAGGAATATCGTCAAGCGTGTTATCAGCTATTTGGTTGGAGAGTAGATCGAACAAAAGAAGGTTATTATAAACTATCGAGTCAATACGCAGAATCACCAGATGATTTTCTTTTCTTCCACGTAGGAGAAGAAGGTGTAGATATGTTAGAGACTGTTTTCTCCACAAACTTAAGCAGTCTAATCGAGCAATATTTGCAGAGGCAACACAGTGTTCCTATGTTTCTTAATGCTGTACAATCTGATCTTTTTAGTCAGCAAACTGTAACAAATGTCGTGACGTAAGACTGTATTATGTTTTTAATGAAACCAATATTTTTATTTATAAGCTTCATCAGGATTCAATATATTATAATTGAATGATTACATTTATTCACTAAATGCCTTAATATTTTTAATTTTCTTTATTTTTATATTCTTATGTATAAAGCTTTTCATATACACATTCATATCAACTTATTATTATCAAAGTAACTTGAAATTAATTTTACACAGGAATGTTATATAAATATTATCCATAAATAATTTTATTTATAGATAATATTAAAATTTATAACATTTATAACAATAATTTCACGATATTATTTAATAAATTTCGCATCTTCAGTTGCTGCAAAAATAATCTATAAAATAATATTTTAATATTACATATTAATTATTTATATATTAAAATATTTTGCAGAAAGTATCGATATAATAAATTGTATACTGGATATATTAAACATTCCAAATATATAACTGATTCCCATAAAAAACTATAAAGATATTCAAATAAAATTTTTGAAATCTTTTACATAAAGTCTCTCAAAAACAATTCTAATCGAGTTAAATAATTTTTAAAAGTTGACAAAAAACAATAAGTGTCAAAAATAAAATAATTTCTTTTTGTTTTATACAATATATTATAAAATTTAGACAATTTCTAAAAATATCTTGTATAAAATGTATAATATGTATATATAAAATTTGATATATATATATATATATATATATATATATATATATATATATATATAATTATATATTATAATTTGATTGTACAAAGCTCAAGTTTAATCTTCGTTGCACTCGCGCGCCTGACCTCATTAGTTGTAAGAACATGATGATGTCTTGCCATGATTTTTCGAGAAAAACTTAGGTCGAGAAAACTCACTGAACTCTTGTCGCGCATAAAAATCTTGCGAGAGGGCAACGTCGAAGTTGAAAATCGCGTCGAGCCATCCCACAGTGGCTATCCCACGGGAGACGTTACTTCTCGACCATGCTCGTACGTGCCCAGAAAGGGGAGGCCTGTGTGTCCCAGAAGAGCGATTTCCATTGCTTTGTTCGGTGAAGGAACTGTGACGGTGATCTTCATTAGTGACTAAGTCGCTATATAGGACTTACCACGCCCACTACTGCATGTAAATAAATGTGCACTCACACATCTCCAAAATTTAGCGTTTATGCATGTGTATATGTGAATATATATATGCATCTCTGGGTGACCAAAAGCATTTCGCGATAACGAAGAGGAAGAGAGAGAGAGAGAGAAAGAGAGAGAGAGAGAGAGAGAGAGTACAGTCATCTACGCTATAGCTGACGACGGGAACTCGATATAACGGTGCCAGCTGCAAAGGGACTCGACGGGAACTCCCGAGCTGAAACTCCATTATCCTTAATTATAATCGCATTTAATCGCAAACTCATCCTGCGTTCTCCCTCGCATACGTGCCACTCTCGCGTTTCGTAGATCCAGCATCGTCCTTATCCTCGTCTATGTCGTTTACATTGCCCCTCATCCCGCGTCGCAGCCGCTGACGGTTATCAATCCGGAATCAACGCACAGATATTTCTCCGCGACAGGGATGTAGCAGTGGATGAAAGGAAATTATCATTGAAAAACAGAGAAAGAGTATCACCTGGCCTGACAGGTACAAAATGCATGGAATGTATCAACGGAAGGCGAGAAGCGATGGTTTAAATGCCTGAGAGTGCCAGACCTTGGGAAATATCGACGCGGGAGTTGCACGCATGTGTATGATTAATGCGGCGGTATCGCCGCAGAAATATCGCACGTGCGAGGGAATTGATAATAAGACTACTCACGCGGAAGAGAACATCCGCCAGCAATCATTATTATCAGTGCTAATTGCGCTTCTTGATTTGACCTCTCCTGAACTTTCAACAGGCGTTAATTTACGCGAGAAGTGTCAAGATTTTAAAATAAAATTTAATTGCGGACTCGCTGAAAAATAAATGCTTATAAATTTCGCTAATAAATTAAATTTTTTGTTCTATCTTTTGAGATTAAAACAACACTTATGTCATCTTATCAGAGAATATCTCCTTTAACTTCTATTTAAATGTATATATCAAAATAAATAATAATAATAATCATTCGTAAAAGTCATCCTTGAAAGATAAAATACGATGATTGAAATCTATAATTATGATAAATTAAATTTTTATATTTATAAAATATATATTTATTCTATCGAATCATCGCCATCGAATCATTGACACAGAAGTGTCAAATTGTTGAATTAACACAGAAAATATTTTGACATCCTTTAGCGTCTTTTAGCATCAAGTGCTCTCGCTAAAATTATATCAGTTTCAATATAATTTTGAATCTTCTTTGAATTTGGGAAATCTCAATTTTTTATAAGAATTTTATTTACACGTTAATCTTTCTCGTAGTCTATACATACATCTTACCCGACACGATGATTTATCGCGATTTTGCGTGATACTTTTTTCAAGTTTCCCGAAGTAGCTTTCGCGAGATCATTGTTCAGCCATGTGAAAGAATACGAACGTATGTAACCGCCATCGGTACAGATCCCGCGAAGAAAGATAATCAATCGTTGTGCAGAATAAACCGGATATACCTCTTATCAAAGTTGGCCTATCTTCGCGAAACTTGCTCGCGTCTTCGTCTCTTAAGGCATCGTAGGCGAGAATCGCACAAGTGCGAGAGAGAACTTTCGGCTGCGAAACAGAAGGGAACGAATCGTGTATGTATGTGTATATGATATGCAATGGTGTTTATGAGGTGTAGGAGCGAGAAACAGAGGGTGAAAGGGGGAAGAGAAAACTGTCGTGAGGCGCGGCAGAAGGGATGCTGGTAGACTTCGTGCTAACTTTCGCGTCCGTGTGCTCGCGGCACCGCCAGAAGGAACTTTGTCGATCAGAGTTGCGAAGGAGATTCTCAGTTATGTTGAGAGTGCCACCCTGTAGATATCTCTGGAGCAGAAAGGGGTGAATACGTTGTTGGCGAAATAATGCGGGATGACTCGCGGGGTTATCTTCTTGTTTTTCGCTCGAATCATTCCTGATTCGAGTGTCTCCATCAATACGATATAACGATCTATTTTTTAACATTAAGAATAAATTAGTAATTTCTATCAAGCTCTTCTAAATTTACTATCAATTTTATATTATAATAACTAATTAGAAAGTTTTCGCTATGACAAAATTTTATTAAATCCACTTTATAATAAAATTTAAGATTTTATCTACATGACATCATTAGAAATGAAAAAAAATTATATCAAAGCAAAGAAATTAAGTGGAAGCTCAAAAAGATAATTTTAAGATATGTGAATAAGAAAAATATAATAAATGACATTTAATAAAAATATCGAAAGAATTGATATATTTGTTATCATTAATCATGTTATATCATAATTCATCTTTCCGACATACTTAAGGTACATGAGGCTTTTTATGGAAGAGTAGTACTTTTAGCATCGCTAAAGAACTTCGAGATGATCGTAAGAGTCAGCGAGGAAGTCGAGAAGTCGAAAGGTACAAGCGCAAAATAGGTCAGAGAGAAGGATAATTATCTATTTCTCGGCTCTATTACACCTAAAGTACCGGCTAAAGAGGAAAAAGCTACTAAGGAGAACGGCAGATACGAGGAGGCAGCAAATCATTTTAATTTTCAAAATCGTTATAACCCCGATGAAAGTTTTCAGCTTTCGCGTATGTTTTTAAGAAGCGGTACAAATTGTAAGATTTGCGAAAGATTTTTTCCATTTGCATTATAACGTGCGTACAAATATAACGAGAATTTTTTTTCGCACACTTTAATATTTTCTATCTCTGTAAGTTTCTCTTACAGAGATAGAAAATATACTAATATATATATGCCTTGAATTTCGATAAATTTAGATAATTAACTGTAATTTTAGCTTCATCTAGAGAAAAAAGTCTTCTTCGAAACTAAATTTGCGATTTTAAATTAGACAATTAAAGAAAATTTAAACAGATTTATTTAATTTAAATTTAATAAAATATTTATAGGTATGTATTATATAATATTTATACATATGTTATACATATATATATAATCGTTTTTCTATTTTTTAATTTTTCTTGCTAAATTACATGAATTTCAAAGAAGACTTAATTTCGAAGAAGCCTTCGACGAATCTAAAATTACGATTAATCGCCCGGATTTGTCGAAAGAGCAGATCGCGTAGGTGGGAAATCTCACTCTCTCGCGAATTTCGCTTTATTTGGCTTTTCACCTGACTCGTAAGCAAGCACACGAGTGCAGTAACGAAGAAATATTAACGTTAAGCCGGCGAATGAATACGAATCCGCACTTTATATCTTGGAAAGGTCGGACGGATACGACGGACGAGGTCAGAGACCGAAATAAAAAAGCTGCTGCTTGGCTGGTCGCTCGGCGCGGGATGGTCAGAGGTTTGTAATTATCTGTTTCTCGGCTCCATTATACCTGAAGAACGAGGCGAATGGACACCATCGCGCGAAGCCGTGGCGAGAAAAGCGGAGAGGACTCCGACGCGAGTGGCGAACGTGACGGGAAATAAGAACAGGCCGAGTGGCAGCCGGAAATTACAGAGTCTACAAGCAGCAAGCAATGACAGTGAAACTGACAATATGTACGGAAGAGATGGGGAAATAGCCGGGCGGAAAAGAAGTTTCGTTGACTACTTTTAGACAATTGTTCCTCGGACATCTTCGCGTCGGCAGAAAGATGACAATCGATACTTTCTGAGGACACAAACTTATCACAGGTATATAGCTATCGCGACGATTTTTTCACGGTTGATTATCACGATTATTAATTAATGATTATTATTAATAATAACCATCTCATTATACTCACTTTGAATCTGAATGAATAATTCAATAATTTATAAATCGACAATTTATAATAATATTCGATATTTATCTATAAATGTGTTTGCACATTCAATAATAGAATTAATTTACTTTTCCTATTTTAATATTACTCTAAGATTTTTTGTTCTATTATTTTAATTATTATTTTCATCATAACTTGCATATATTATATCATATATTTAAATATAATTTCTTTTTACTTTATACTGTTGACGTTGGGTAAATGTTTAACATCGTGAGGATCATAACGATGAAGAACGTATTTCCAGACACAATCGTGCTTCGTATTGGAACATATCCACTCATCATTGTCACAAGTATGTTACATTTCTTCGTAACGGCTACCAAGAAACTTCCGCTGCGGGCGTCTAACATCCGACAGACAATTTTCTGCGGACAATTCGGCCGCAACGTCGTCGTCGTCGTCGTCGTCGTCGTCGTCGTCGTCGTCGCAGATAGGAAACGATAGTTGGCTCGCTAGCAAACTCCAATCTCCGGATGCCCTCTCGAGCACACCTTTATCAAGGGGGACGGGTAAAGCAGTGTTCCTCCTCTTTCTCCGCGTCCCGATCGTTTCGCGATCCTAGTCTTCGGTAAAGGCGAATCTGCCTCTAACGATGCTGCCACCGCCTTCCTTTTTGTCAGGGAGAAGGACTGGCGGCACTTTTCTTAAATGGCGAAAAAGGGATGGGTGGTCTTTTTGATGAATCGGCGCCGAACTGCGTCCGGCATACGTAAACCCCCCCCGGAGGGAATCACGACGATCAGGATGAACGATGCGTCCGCGCTCGCGCGACGAAGCGAGAAGAATGGCGAAAAGAAACGAGGACGACGCGACGACGGGGTGGAAACACTTGGAGGGAAAATTCCGACACTTCTGCCAGCAGATACGTCCAGTATAGGAAATTAACCCCTCGTCGCACGTTCTCCGCTTCCTATGTTCTGGAAAAAAAAAGAAAAAATCAAAGCGAGCTTGCAGGAGTGCCAGCAAACTTTCGCCGGCGACTCTTGATCTATTATTAACACTTTTATAATCATATAATACATATAAATACATATATATATATATATATATATATATATATATATATACATAAAATTATTTAGATAATTATTTAGATATTATTTATTATTATATATAATTATTTAAATTATTTAAATACATATTTATTGAGAAGATTACAACACATTTAAGTTACTACGGATTAATATTGATTCAATTCAATTGTTATAAAATATCGCACAGAAAAAGATACATCTAAAAGGTCTGGCATAATTTTTTTTTACCAGTGAAATTGATTGTCGTTTATTGCTTTCAATAACCAGCTTATCCTTCGTAATCTTTTACGCCTGTAATAAGTCAGGATATACAATACGAGCAACGTTCGTTGCACGTTGAGGCTAAAGTATTACAGAATCGAGCAGAAACGCCGAGTAGTGACGTTCTCGTTTCCTACGAGAAGAAATTAACGTCTAGCAACGGGAAACTTCATTTAGATGACTCATCGCATCGTTGAACGGAATAAGGTGATTGTTTCACGCGATGAAGCGCGCGCGCGCACGATGATTGATTAAAAAGTTACTGATAGGCGGATGCGCGAACGGAACGTTATCGAAGCGAAGACTGAAAAGCGAAGGCGAGCGCGATCGCGAAATATTAACGACGCGCGTTTCCACCGAAGTTGCATGATTAAAGCCCTTAAAGACACTCCGCAGGAAGACAATCGCGTGCTAAGCGATCCTTATAACCAGAGTCCTTATATTTCGCGTCTACCTCCGCATCTACCTTTCACCACGAACTTCGTGCTACCCCGTTCTTCCCCCTACTACCACCGACGATCCTTCGAGACCTGGAAGTTGAAAGGTGTCTTGTAGTCGATAGTTACAACACGCAATCACTTAGGATAGATTCACGGCGAATGAGCAGTCGTCTGATATCCTCTTTGCTACTGTTAAAAAAAACTGAGAGATTATTAGAGGATAAAGCGAGAAATCATTAGAGGAGGATTATTCTGAATACGCGTAAAACTGATACAAAATTTTATCGAATTCTCAAAAGTAAATAAATATAAATTTTCATTTCCATTCAGAGACATTCCAAGTTTATTTATATTTATCTTAATTTAATTTCTATACCTAATAAAAAGCAATTTTATCTTCTAAATTTTATTTAATAAATTATTATTCGCATTTAAGAAATCTAATCATAAAAATTGCTACATGTTCGGGTTATTAATTCGCTTTTGATCTCACCGAGGCTTTTATTGTATATTCATATTATAGCATCCTGGAAGAACGCTATTAATTAAGATAATAATATCGGAGCGCATCCTATCTTCTCTGTCGGCTATATAGCTCATAGCATCCAGGCCGTAACGTAGTCATCAAATATTTTGTTGCGGCAGGCGCGACCGCCGCTCTTAGGATCGTAATGTATATGCGAGCGTTCACTGAAATATTATTCAGTAGTCGTGTCTTGAGGTGTGCGCGGCGCAGGACCACGAAAAATGGCACCCGAGAATTTCTGATGCGGACGGCTTTTAGGGCCAACGAGCGCGTACTATGCGCGTAAAGAGGAAAACGCCGCAGCCGCAGCCGCACCCGCGGCGAGAATACATTTGAGATACGAATGCAAAATATTTTCGAACACGTGAAAGCATCATTAAAGTGTAATGCGAGCAACAATAACGCGCCGAATTAGGACGCGAAATTTTAATGATCATGCTTTCAAATCCTCTATCTCGCGGCTGTTTGCGGATATAATAATCTCTGAGTCGTAAGATGCGCTTCTAATAAACGTAAATAAATGATCTGAAGAGAGTAGTCGCAGCTTTTCGGTATTCCTTGAAGGAACTTTATATTGCTCGTATGAGAAATAAAAAGTAATCCGGTGAAAATATAAAACTGGCGCAATTGACGTAAATGTAAAGAAATATAATGATGAATAATTGAATTTAATAATTATCTCTCTTGTAATAATTATGATAGAATATTATTATAATAAATATAACAATTGATTATAATATTCCTATAAAGATAATGATTATAGTGCATACAAGAGAAAAATATAGCTTAAACAAAGTTTAAATAAAACTATTAATTCTGTTTAAATAAAACTATTAATTCTGTTCCGACATAATTTCATAAGCATCTCCAATGTAATAAATAAATTGATCGATCATCAATCGATCATCTATCTTATGCTTTTGAATATTATATATATATATATATATATATATATATATATATATAAAACAGATATAAATAAATAATCAAACAGATAGACGAAAACCTTTCAAGACTCTTGAACGTAAAAGCAAGCAGCCACAGATAAAACGGTGCTTTTAAAGATATAAAATACAGCGACACACACGTAAAAGACCAGCTAGCGCGCGCTTACCCTCGTTCAAGTCGTTTACGTCGAGAATGTTACTCTTCTCTTCCCGAGAGATTCGTAAGATCGTCGTAAAAGCCAACGTACAAGATCGATCCGAGATATACACTCGATCGCTCATATATCGCGGATATAGCGAGAACGCGACACTTTCTTATTAAGCTCGCGCATTTATGCACATGTGTGAACACGTGTATAGATACGAGAATATGTACGTGTACGTATGCACTTATGCACGTATCACGAGGAAAAAAGCTGCAGGATATCGAGACAGGCGGTGGTTTCACTCGTACTTAAGTTATGCGAGTACGGCATTAACGCGCAGTGCCTCGTTAGTGCACTCGCGTGAGTTCCGAGCCGCGTCGAGCAAAACCTCTCGTAATTTTAGGTCGGTTCGAGGAGAGCAAACCGGGCGAATAAGTTGAAAACGCTGCGGCGCGAATCGTAATCGACCCGTTTAATTTTGGAATTATGTCGTCCTTCGTCACGCATTTTCTCTCACTCGGGAAACCAGCGAGATACGCAAAAGTAATTATTATTAATTAAAAATCTGGAGGAAAAATCATTTTCGCATTAGGTACTACCGCCAAGAGGCGGAGAAAAACGCTTAAATCGAAAATACGAGATTTTGAGTACTTTCACACACATGTATATTTAATTGTTGATTATATATACATATATTCAACAATTAAATATAGCCCTCGTAGAATTCAGGAACGCAAAACATTTGCCGGGATGAAATTTACTTACGAGGTGAGACTCGACTCCCCTTACGACTTTCCAGGCGAGAAGTGCTCGCGGGCGCGTTCGCTATTCACGCTAAATTAAGCGTCGGCAAGAGGGGAGAAAAAATTAATCCCCGGGTAGCAGAGATCAGGCGAGCCGATATGCTTTTTCATGGGTCAGGTCGTTCAAACGGGGAACGAAATTGGGGGTGGACGAGGCGCTGGGAGGCCACGTTGGATGCTAGGATAGAAGTTCTGTCAGGATAGGGGCGCATCCGGATCTCGAATGCTACATTAAATATAAACAACTATGCGCGGCAAGGACGGAACGGCGAGCGGGATGGGGGTGAGATGAAACAACCTTCTCTTCTTATCCAAGTCCCATGGCACCTTCCTTACGTGGAATTCCTTACAGGGTGACTTTTCCAACCGGTCGATAGACAAATTTCATGCCCTCCTATTTTATTTCTCACCTCGGTCTTTTCTTTAGCTAACAAATGCTTTAGTAATTTTATTTCGCGCACCTGATATACCTTTGCCTTTTCGAAAAGTTTTTCGTAATGTAGATTTAATTTTATTATTAGTTGTGTATGATTCGATTATATTATTAACTTTATCGTATATTTTCTTGTCTTTGCAGAAAAAAATTTTTAACAAGAGATTCTTTTGAGGAAAAGAAAAAAATGTTATCTTAAATATATACACATATGTTCATTTTCATTATTTTTTTATTGTACAATATTACGGTGCGAGATGCATTTAAGAGTTTATTGCGTTTTTATTGCGTAAAACATATAATTAATATGCGATTTATAGCTTAATATAAAACGTGAAATTTTAAAGTATCTATATTTTTCTCTTTATTCTCTATAATTTTTATCGCAATGCCACACATTGCGCGCAATGTGCAAATATTATGTCATTTGAAAAATCAACAGAATTAAATGCAATCATAAAAATGAGAAAAATTATTCCCAGGAAGAATATCGTGAAAAATATCGATATGCGCATTTTGGTTTTTTAACATTCAAATCTCTCTGAATTAAAAGCTTTAAAATAGTAATTTAAGCATAGTAATTTAAGCATTAAAAATACTTTCAATCCTAGTATTAGAAATTTTAATACTGTCGACAGAGATGAAAAATTTTATAGTGAATCGATTTTAATTTTTACAAAGTTACATCTGAAAATTACGCTCATAATTAAAAAGAGGTAAACATTTGCTTATTAATCGAGAATTGTGTTGCAAACAATAAATATAATTTATATATAATTTACGAAATTAATTTTCTCTATTATTATTAATTAATTACATATAATTCGTTTATAATATAAACTACAAAATGTAACAAATTAGTGGCGTGAAAGAGAAGATGTAATTCAGTGTAGATCGTCTTTGTAAAATCTTTTAGCCAACAACTTTTCAGTTGAGATCACAGAGGAGTGTCGCCCTTTAGCTCTCACTTTTTTGCACGTAATAGTCCTGGATCGCGAAATAATTTTTCCTTTTCGAAGGTCTTTGAACACGTGTCATGAAACAACGCTTTTATCAGCTTTGTAAGCAACTCTGTGCTTTATTTTTTGATTCGTAGCAAGAATCGTGACCACAAAATTATTTGTCAAAAATCTCTTTAAATTTAGAACATTTACCGTTTGTTAATTTAAATTAATAAATTGTTTTTCATTCAAATATCCTTAAGTTTTAATATTCGAAATTAAGAGACTAATGTTAATCTAACATTATGTTGATCTTTTAGTTCACAAGTTTTTTTTTAAAAACAAATTTATTAAATCAATTTTACTATTAAAATAATTTTAACTTA